GGGAAAGGGAAGCAGTCCTTTGGGCAAGCTCGATTCAGGTCGGTGTAGTCGACGCACATGCACCATTTACCGTTAGCCTTTTTCACCAGAACGGGGTTGGCCACCCAGCTCGGGTAATGGACTTCCCTGATAAAATCGGCTGCAAGGAGCTTCTCAACCTCCTCATCGACTGTCCTCCATCGCTTTGGGCTAGGTTGTGTTTCTTCTATCTAACAGGTCTAACTACAGGATCAGTATTAAGCTTATGAGTTATGATGCTAGGGTCTATGCCGGGCATTTCTGCCGCAGACCATGCAAAAACATCTAAATTTTCAAGTAAGAAGCGTACCAGTTTAGATCACAGAGGCTCCTCGATGGAAGCACCGATCTGAAGTGTTCGGGTTGGATCCTCCGTCGAGGCTGGGATGGAGACGATCTCTTCTGTGGGCGCACCTCGCTCCTCGCTCTGCTCCGTAGGTCACTCCAGCTCAAGGTCATCGACCACCTTGGCTTTCCCTTTAAGGACGGCGACGTAGCACTTGCGAGACTCAAGCTGGTCACCTCGCGCTATCCCGATTCCAAAGTCTATGGGGAACTTCATAGCCAAGTAGTAGGTGGACACCACAGTCCGTAAGGCATGGGTAATCGGCCGACCCACTATGGCGTTATACGGGGAGGGGGTTGGGACCACTAAGAAATCGTGGTTGAGCCTCACTATGCTAGGCCAAGTGCCGACCTCCACGGGTACTGTAATCCTTCCTAGGGGCCTGACTTCCTCTCCGTTGAAGCCTACCAGGGGAGTGTTCGCAGGCTTTAGATCGCTCTCCTGGAGCTGTAGTTGGTCGAAGGCTGCTTTGAAGAGGATGTCCGTCGAGCTGCTTGAGTCGATGAGGACGCGCCTGACTTCAAAGTCATTGATCTTCACCTTTATGACGAGCGCGTCATCATGGGGGTAGTAGACCCCACGGACGTCATCTTCTATGAAGATGGGATCTTCCAACCTTGGCCGCTTTGGGGGTTTCTACTCTTCCCTGGCGGCTTCGCAAGCTGATGCGCGAGTTGCAGCTGAGGTACAGCCCGCCACAATCGTGCCTCCAACTATGACATGGATGGTCCCCCGAACTGGTCTCTCTTCGGGGGGCTGCTTCTGTGGCTGTTCCGCTTGCCTGCTGGACTCGGGAGCATCTCTACTCTTCTCCCCTTGCCGACCTGCTTTATTATTATTATTATTATTACTTTGTACAAAATTTCTCAAATATCCGCGACGGATGAGTTCTTCTATCTCATCGCGAAGGTTTTTACAACTTTCGGTGCTATGACCGTGATCTTTATGAAAGCTACAGTACAGATTTTTATTTCTAACATTAGGGTCCGCCTTCAGTCGAGGTGGCCACTTCACGTACGGAGCGTCCTTGATCGCCATGAGGATCTCGACCCACTTCGTGTTGAGGGGTGTATAGTCCCTTTCTGCTACTGGAACTCGGAAAGGCTGATTTGGCTTTGCCCCCCGAGCTTGGTCCCCCTTCTTCCTGCTGTCACCCTGAGCTGGGGGCTCTGGTTCCCTCTTCCTTTTCTCAAGGGTCCGCTCGCCCTTCTGGTTGATTTCCTCCTCCGTCCCTATGAACCGGTCTGCGCACTTGAGGAACTCGGTCACGGTCTTGGGTTGATTGACAACTACGTGCCACTTGAACTCTTTGTGGGTGATACCTCGTTTGGCTGCGGTGAGGCGAACTGCGGGATCCAGGTCGGGTATCTGTAAACAAGCGTCGTTGAACCGCTTGATGTAACTCCGAATGGACTCCCCTTCCTTTTGAACTATGCCGAGGAGGCTTTCCTGAGTTCTCGAGCACCTTTTGTTGGTGACGAAGTGGGAGGTGAAAACTTGCACAAACTGTGCCCAGCTTCTTGTCGAACCAAGCGCGAGGTTACGGTACCATGTGCGGGCTACCCCTTTGAAGGTGGTGGAAAAGGCCATGCACATGCAGAATTCACTGGCTCTTGCCAAGTGCATCTGGGACTGGAAGGCATCCACATGATCATTTGGATCGAAGGATCCATCATACTTGTCCAGTGGAGGGAGCTTGAAGTCCCTTGGCATGGGGACAGCAAAAAGTTCTGGAGATAGTGGGGAAGAAACTGAGAGGAGAGGGGTAACTTTCACTTCACCTGAGCATACCTCCTCTTTTCCTTTGAGCTCGGGAGAGACTCGGGTAGCAGTTCGACGAGCTCGCCAGCGTCTTTGCTGTTGCTTTGCTGGCTCCACGTTGGTGCTTGATTCTTCAGTGTCGCCGAGCTCGATGGGCTCACATTGCTGGTGGTGGTTCTGAGCCGAAGGGCCCTGCCTATAATCTGCGGCCAGGACCTCGAACGGATTCTCTTCGAGTGGGAGCTCGAACTGTGAAGGTCGGGGCGATACGGGCTTGGTTGGCTGGGAGGCCCCCGACTTGCCCACAGGCTGTGAGGCGGGGGTGGCTGGCCTCTCCTTCTGGCTATGGGAAGAGGCTTGGCTCTTGGCGGGATCCTGGGCCTGGGAGGCCTCTCCCCGGCGAGGTCGTTCACTTCGACGGGATGGCTTGGTCTGCTTTGTGGTCGGATGCCGAGGGGGAAGCGACGATTGGGCCTGAGGCAAAGAAGGAAACTGCTGCTGATACTGGTATTGGGAAACCTGGTGCAACACTTGCTGTTGATAGAGTTGGAATTGTTGAAATTGTTGCATTTGAGCTTGCATGGCTCGCATGCACTGCATTAAGTCCTCCAACTGGTTCAGGTTGGCCGCTGGGGGCACAACCGAGGGTTCAGCAAAGGTTGTCCCAACTGTGGAAGGGAGTGGARCGACCGCGGGTGCCACTATGAGAGGCACGTTCAAACTGGGAACTCCGTCCACGGAGAGGGGGACGGTGAACTGCCCAATACAGACAGTAGGAAGTTGGGGTTGCTCCCAAAAGCGTTCTGGCTGGCACCACGTCCGACGTTGCTGGAGAAAGCCATGAATGTTGAGTTTTCAAAAAATGAAACTATAAGAACTTAAAGGAAGGCTTCTTGAAGCTTTTCCCACAGACGGCGCCAAATGATGCGGCACGATCCGGGCACTCCTAGTTGGCTGCTGACTAGCTCCTATCTGGCAACAGACAGCACCTGAGAAGAAGGTGAAGGATCCCCAGGGGATTTGCCCGGCAGGAATACTCCGAAGCTTAAGTTAGAATGCTGGGGAAGAAAGTAAGAGTGTAAAGAGGTTAAGAGTGTAGGTCGTGCTGGATCACTGAGTTCTCAAGATTAGCTCGAGAGCAATTAAATTTCAGATAAGATCTCAGATGTTCGAGAGAGAGAGCTTCCCTTCAACTAGGGAGATCTTATATAGGCGTTCTTGTCAAATCGGGCATAACCGCCACTAGGCTTCTGTCGCAGCCGTTATCTGCCAGGGTTGCGCAGGTGACCGCTGCAGGGTACTACCCAATTGGATGGGTGACACATCCCGGGAGGACAGGCACGCCACCATCTGTCGAGAGACGTGGGTACAGTCTGGCGAGTGGGCACGGACTACGCCGTCAGTCAGGAGACGTGGCGCAGTCTGATGGGTACGATCTTGTTAGATAGAAGCTTCCTGAAAGCATCACATCGCTTAGTCGCGAGCTATCCTGTCGCGTAGCGAGCTATCTTGTCGCAAGCTACTTCGTAGCGATCTCCCAGGGGTACTTCGAGGTGACCTTTCTCATGGTTGTCTTTGGGGCAGTTGTTTGCCCAAGTGTTGGAGCGAGTTGGTTACCCTAGCTCGCGAGTTGGGATAGTCTTGGAGTATTCCCTTTCGGTAGCTCGGGGGACCTTGAGCTCGCGTTGTAGCGAGCTCCCCCTATAGCGAGCTATGACGTAGTGAGCTATCCTGCAAGCTCGTTACTTAGTCGCAGTTAGGCTGTGGTGCTGAGTTGTTGCTCGTGCTGAGTCAGGTCCACATGTCATTGTCTCAAGGGGTCGGGTCAAATCATCCCCCATCAAAATCCAAGAAAATAAATCAAGTTTCTTTAATCATCAACATCACTTCTTCCACCCTAGAAACCACTATAGGACCCCTGCCTATTAGCCGTCAAATTAGAGCTAGTTATATACCATATAACACAACCCAAGGTGACTGTGAGCATAGAATAACAAATTTAGTAATTAAGCAATGGAATGAAAGCTAATATAGCTGAAGATTGTAAGTTTTGCACTCTGGGTGGATTGAAGAATCAACAGACACTGCTGGAAATCATTGAACAGACAGTGAAGTGATGAAAGAAACTGGGAAGGTTCTTTATTGGTGGAAGCAATCATTCCACTGATTTTTAATAGGCAGAAGCTAGAAATATGGTTAAACTGGACTACTGGAGACAGAGGAGACTGATGAGATTTTTGTAAGTGAGGTGGTATATGTATCTATGCAACATATATAACAATGGTGTATGCAACAAGTAAATAACCAGTCGTAAGAGGAGGGAGACACTCAATAGGGAGGAGGAAGATTGGATCTTTCTCTATGCAAGGAGATGAGCATTTGAATTCTTTTCTATGACATCCATGCTGGAAGAAAGGAACAAAACACAAAGTGAAGATGGTTTGGATAGATTAGTTGCAAGGATTCCCATTATTCTGTTGATTGGGAGCAAGTGGAGGATCCCATCTGCATATATTAAGAAAAAGAAGATCTTGAGTAGAAAGTAAATTCCCATATACAAGAGCCAAGAGTGACAAAAGGAAAAAGGGGCTCTTCTCTAGTGCATTAGGACCTGTGAGAGTTCAGTAGGTTTTCTGTTCGTTTATTGGGAGTGTCAGGACTTGAGCAGGGTCTTTTGGTTGGTCCACCTTAGTTGGCCTGAGGTGATTCAAGCTTGGGTGTTCCTTGATCCAATATATGGTATTGTGGTGAATGTAATAGAAAGTACAAGAAGACAACAAAAAGAGACAGGTCTAGTCCATGCAAGCTAATGAGTTTTTCAGTAGATGTATGGATATAATGTCCTTCCCTTTACCAAACTCTAGAACCATCTTACCTGGTCTGGAGATGCAAGACTGTTGTTAGGATCTGCAAATTCTGCTACAAGTTCATCTGCAACCTGAAAAATAGCTCAGGTTATGTCACAAAAAAGGAGAAAACATCAATGATAGTGCAATAACTCAATGCCCATCCAAATGAAAGTTGGTAATTGAAAAAGGAATAGCAAATATGCAATCATTAACCACTTTTCCTTACATGTATATTTTGAGATACAAGTCAAAACAAAAGACAAAACTACCCTTAATAACCAATGAAGAAAGGAAAAAAAGTAACCATGGCACTCACATAAATTGACTCACTCTCAACACTCCCCCCTAAGCTGGGTACAGATGTTAATCATGTGCAGTTTGAGAATATTGTCTTCAAATCCTAGTTCTACAAACTCCTTTAGTATAAAAAGTCAGCCAATAGCAGATCTTTCCACAAGCAACATATTCTCAAATGAAATGTCGGTCAACTTCAATATGCTTCATCCTATCATTCTTGGGTTATGTTTATGTTAGTAGCAGCTTGATTAGTACAACCTTAAAGGCCCATCAAATCCCTCCTAGCAGAGTTTTCAAGCACTGTAACTCAGCCACACCATATGCCACAGCATGACACTTTCTTTTTGCACTAGACCTCGCTTCAATAACTACTTCTTGCTCCTCCATGCCACAAGATTTCCATCTATGAATGTGCAATAATTTGAGGTTGACCTCCTATCATTCACACAACCAGCCTGGTATACACCAGTGTAGGATTCCACCTTATAATGTTCATGTACAGCAATAAAAGAAACCTTAAGCTGACCCAAAACAGAATTACAAATGTGCTCAAAACATATGTCTTCTTTGAACCTCCTTGCTTTGCTAAGCTATCTGCCAAACTGTTGGCAGATCTCCTAACCCATCCTACCTGGATTGACATGTTCCTTGATTCCATTTAAGTCTTCGAAATTCATTCTTCAACTGCCATATCACCCCTTCCCCTTTCTGCAACCATTTTATCACAGTTTTTGAGTCTCCCTCGATGATCAGTCTCTTAATACCCAACTCTTTAGCCTTCTCAACCCCATATATTGCAGATAGAAACTCTGCCCTTGCCACATCACCCTGCTCCACAGGACCGGAGTACAGAGCAATAATGTTTCCATTGTCATCTCTAATGCCCCCCCCCAATGCCTGAAGGGCCTGGATTACCCACACAACTCCCATCAAAGTTCAACTTCTTCCAACCATCTGTTGGAGGAGACCATGCCTCAAAAAACTGTTGTCTCGTAGATGAGGAGGCAGCAATAAGTCCCCAAACCCTAAAAAATTCTTCAACCTTAAAAGCTGAAAACAACTTCAAGCTTTTTACCCAATGTGCCACCTTCAATGTTATTGTTTCGACTAATGCTTCCTTAGATTTTTCTTTTCCTTCAAATATTCTTGTGTTTCTTTCCTCCCAAACAGTCCAAAGTAGTGCTGCTCTAGTACACCTCCATAGAATTCTACCTTCAAATACATTCAACAGTCTATGAATGTGTAACTCTGGTTTGATGCATGTACTGGCTTATAAATTCATGGCATAAGAGATATTTGGTATAATCATGCATAAATATAGTAACCAACCAGCCCCTAAAACATTCCTTTATCATTGAGAAGTTCTTTTCATTGCCACTAAGTTTGCAATTAAGGTCCATAGGAGTATCAGCAGTGCCATTCCAAGATTCCCTATATCATTCAATACATCCAGAACATATTTACTATGGAAAATAAAGATTCCCTTCTTAGAATGAGCAACCTCAACGCCTAGAAAATATCTGATTCTGAGGTCACCAAGTCTTTAATTTCAAACTTAAACACTAGGAATTGCTTCAGCTTGCAAAATTCTATATTCCCGATGACCACAATCCACATATTCAATTAATGCACTCAAGATATCACCTTCTCGTTTGATGAATAGTGTATGACCAACATGGGATTGGCTATAACCAATTTTCTAAACAACATTACTGAATCTTTTAAACCAGGCCTAGTAGGCATCCTACCAAGATAAGCAACAAAATAAACATTTCATAAGAAACCTAATTACCACTCAAACAACAAGTCACCTGTTAATTTCCCTATAAGAACATCAGAAAGACAACACAAGAAAATAAAATACGTATATGAATTCAAGAGCCAACTGACCTCATTGTAAGTGGTTCTTCCCTTGCTTTCTACTTTCTCACAGACTAGAAATAATCACGCAAAATAGAGACACAGAGTTAGAAACATACTGACCAACATTATCGACTGGAAACGAGACTCATTATGGAGAACAGCCTTTACAGAGCAAAAACTACTACAAGCCTATATGATTGATTTAGTTTGAGACAGGGGCATCCCAAGACTTTTTTTACCTAACATTGCATCCGGATGGAAAATAACACAAAATTGGATCAAACATACCACAAATAGAAATAGGGGATGGAAAAGAAGTCACCTTTCATACTGAACTGGCGGAGACCTCTTCCACTCTTATCACCTCCAACTGCCCTTTGACCCCTTTTCTTCTTCCTTCCACTGCTTAGAAATAGAAGATGAAAGTGACATACTTCAGCAAAGAACAAAATGAACTCATGTTGCAATATACCTTTCAGGCAGATGGAAAAGAATTTACCCAGCTTCTGAAATCCACCAATAGTGAAGATTCGTGTTACAATGTAATATTATACAAAATGAACTCAAACTCAAAGGAAGAAGAGAGACAGAGAGAGAGAGAGAGAGAGAGAGAGAGAGAGAGAGAGATGCATGGATTATTCTTTCCTGTCCACAACCTTGAGGATTTTTTTATATAAATGAAGTATAATTTGTATTAATGAAGAGGGAAAGGCACCCTCAGAAAGGCATGTACATGTATATGAGCTGTACATGATAGAGACAAAATGTACAGTATATCTTTCACTGTAAAACAAAACTATCATCAAAAACAATCCTCCCTCTCCAATGAGAACAGAAATGATGGAAGTTAAAGCATCAGATTTAATGCTTCAAGGACTATAAGCATTCTGCAATGCACTAGAATTTAATACCACCTTCATGTGCACAATGAATTTGAGGGATTTTCTGGTTAATAAGAATTGTCAAAATATTGATGGAGTTCAACCATTCCCACCTTGTATTCAAAATAAATTCCATAGTTTTCCCATAAACCACACAAAAGTCAATACCATAAGAACAAATACCACATAAATAAAACTTAGCCTCATGAATTGAATTCACACCAAGAAATTCATACAGAGAGAGGAAGAGAGCAAAAAAAAGGTATTAGAAAAACTCACATAACGGCTCCTTGAGATCCAGCGTCATCTCCATGAATATCAAGGTGATTCAATCTACTAAAAGTGCTCTCACTGGCAGGAGTCGCCATAGCCGGCTCGCTCCGGCTTGACGGGGACCCCGCACTCCCACTTGTCGAGACGGATTGTCCCGAAAATGTCGTCCCCCACGACCTTGTTACACCTCCTCTCGACATGCCTGTTGGGTTCTTCTCCCCATCTTCTTGTTGATTCCCTCCAGTTACCATCCCTACTAATTCTCAGAAAAGAACAATAATAATTATAATTATTGCAACTATAATAAAGCAAAACAGCTATTTTCGGAAACAAAAAAAAAAAAGCGAGGAATCAACCAAAGAAAATTTTCAAATAAAAAAAAGCATAAGAAAAATGACCTTATAAGATCTTAAAATTGAAGAATTGGGCGGCCTGGACATGAACAGATGTAATAATCAGTGGCGAGGATTCCTATATTAGAACGAAGATTATAGATTATACTGCCATATAGATATCTCTCCTCTCCTCCTTTTGACAGATGTTCCTTGTAATCAATACGCGTAAGAGGAGATGGAGCCGTGTTGACACAAGAAGAAGAAAGATGAAGAAGAAGAAGAAGAAGAAGAAGAAAGTAGCGCCGAGCAATAGAAAAATAAATAAATAAATAAAAGCTGTTAGAATTTAGAAAGAGGCATTCAGTTTTGAGTCAATGGAGGGAGGAGGTACAGTGGAACCACCACCCACGCACCCGGGCTCAAGCTCTTGAATAGAGAGAAAAGAGGGAATAAAGCGGGCGTGGGGTGTTTGTTTCTTCTGTGACCGACGATCTTTGTCTTCTTTGTACTGTTTAAAGTTGCTGCCGTCTGATAATCCATGACCCTCCAAATCTCAACACTTCGGCATCATCAAATATACATCTGACATCGTTAAACCCATCAACTACCGGTTACCCGTGCGAAGTACGGACTTTGTTAAACAAAATATATAAATACATAATATTAATTGTTTTATATTTTAATTTTTTAATAATAAATAATTATTTAATTTTCCAACTCAGCCCAATTTGATCCAAGTTGGTTGGTTTTCTAGTATTTCTAATCGACTTTGGTTCAGTAATTTCCCAATCCAACTAAGTCAGGTTAGTTTCGGTTTGGTCATTTGTAAACTGACCCAATTATAGATATATATTAATAATTTTTATTTTAAATATACTTTTTTAATGTCAAAAAGTGGATAATTCTTATATTTCTTAGTCTAAAATATTTTATATTATAAATTAAAATTTTTTAATTTATTTTTAAATAAAATTATTGTAAATTTTAATTTAAATTTAACTTTTATAGCCTTCGGGTCGGTTTTAAAATAATTGACAGATATAACTCGAACTGACCGATTTTCACTAATGGTTGGTCAATTTCGAGTGACCATCTTCCTAATCCAATTAGATCAATTTGGTTGGCCAAACAATCTAAAACTGAACCAAACCAACTAACAAACGCTCCAGAGTAGGTTGTGAGGATTTGATGATGGGATTTGGAGTGGATGCGTTAGATGAAGAATTTTGGAGGTTGGGGATTGAAGAGGATGGAGTACATGTGGGTGTTGAATTGGAGGAAGGGTTAAATAGATGGAGTAAGTAGTGTTTGATAGGAAAGGTGGTTGGGGAGAAGGTGATACACCCTATTGTAGTTCGGACTTGGGAGCCTTTTTCCTAAATTAAGTCTGGGAATTGCAACGTCTAGTGCAAGTTGAATCCACCCCTCATGGATTGGTGTTTCTCTTCTTCTTCTCACATAAGGTGGATATTAGGACTATCCTTTCACAAGGCCCGTGGGTAGTCAATGGGTTGCAGCGTTGGTGTCCACATGTTTGAGTGGACATCTTCGTAGGAGGGTACCAGTGTTTGGTCGAGAGGGAAGAACAATGTGGGCTGATATTAAGTATGAACATCTACCAGTCTTCCGCTTTTACTGTGGTAGAGTCCAGATGTTTGAGTGGACATCTTCGTAGGAGGGTACCAGTGTTTGGTCGAGAGGGAAGAACAATGTGGGCTGATATTAAGTATGAACATCTACCAGTCTTCTGTTTTTACTTGGTAGAGTCTAGGGTGGGCCATGATGTAAAACATTGTACATGTAAGGTTGATGACAAGTCTATTGATTCGGAGTTACAATGGGGACTGATCCGGGCACTCCTAGTTGGCTGTTGATTGGCTCTTATCTGGCAATGGACGATACCTGAGAATAAGAAGGTGAAGGATCCCCGAGGGATTTGTCCGGCAGGAATACTCCGAAGCTTAAGTTAGAACGTTGGGGAAGAAAGTAAGAGTGTAGGTCGCGCTGGATCACTGAGTTCTCAAGATTAGCTCGAGAACAATTAAATTTCAGATAAGATCTCAGATGTTCGAGAAAGAGAGTTTCCCTTCAACTAGGGAGCTTTTATATAGGCGTTCTTGTCAAATCGGGCGTAACTGCCACTGGGCTTCTGTCGCAGCCGTTATCTGCTAGGGCTGCGCAGGTGACCGCTGCAAGGTACTACCCAATTGGATGGGTGACACGTCCCGGGAGGACAGGCACGCCACCATCTGTCGAGAGACGTGGGTACAGTCTGTCGAGTGGGCACGGACTGCGCCGTCAGTCAAGAGACGTGGTGCAGTCTGATGGGTACGATCTTGTCAAATAGAAGCTTCCTGAAAGCATCGCGTCGCTTATTCACGAGCTACCTTGTAGCGAGCTACTTCGTAGTGAGCTCCCAAGGGTACTTCGAGGTGACCTTTCTCAAGGTTGTCTTTGGGGCAGTTTTTCTGCCCAAGTGTTGGAGCGAACTGGTTACCCTAGCTCGCGAGTTGGGATAGTCATGGAGTATTCCCTTTCGATAGCTTGGGGGACCTCGAGCTCGCATTGTAGCGAGTTCCCCCTATAGCGAGCTATGACGTAGCGAACTGTCCTACAGATTCGTTACTTAGTCGCAGTTAGACTGTGGTGCTGAGTTGTTGTTCATCCTGAGTCAGGTCCACGTGTCATTGTCTCAAGGGGTCGGGTCAAATCATCCTCCATCAAGGACTATGCATGGCTACGAGCAGAAACGGTGGGCAGTAATAGAAGTGAGATATTTGGTGGTGGTGTTCCCCCCAATAATCATTATGGTTCAGGAATGACCAGAGAGGCTGTGAGAACTGAAGGGAAACAACAAATGAGGTGGTCGCTGATGAACTCGATGGCGGTGGCAATGGTGGTGGGAATGGAGGTTGATAGTCAGTTTACCGGTGACTGAGGTGGACAAAACGGTTACAACTGAAAAGGGTGAAGACGACATGCATGGTTCGTTGTGGAGTGTTGTCAGTAACCAACTCGAACGGTTTAACTAGGAAGATCTAGAATTGCCGATTGGATAGGGGTGGATGATAGAGATCGAATTGCAATCGTATCAGTATATTGATAGTAAAGGAAAAAAGGCCATGTATGTGAAGGCCCTTAGACAATTGTAATCGTATATTGTAGTGAAAGGTAGAAATTAAAACCAAAAATTCAACCGGCCGGCCTGGAGAAGGAACCTCTGGTTGCAAAGGTGGTACAAGTTACATGGAGGGAAATTTCAAAACTATATATAGCGAGTTGAGTGATGTGTCTATTGGATGGTGTAGGGTCCATTAAAGTACAACAAATATCTTCTACCAATGATCAACTAATGACTGGGTTTTCAGTGGTTGTCCCTCATCAACCCCGAAATTAGCCATGAAGGCATTAATATGGAACTGTAGAGGGTTGGGGAGCCCTCAAATGAGGAGGTTTTGCGTAAGGCTGAGTTTGGAAAGAATATATAAATGCAAATACATACAAAAATCAAGGGACTTGTGGTTGCGGGAAGGCGATCATAATACCGTGTTTTTTCATCTTTCCACGATAGTAAATAGAAGAAGACTGAACATTGCACGCTTAAAATAAGGAAGATGGGGATTGGGGGTGGATGGAGGATATAAAGGAGATGCAAGAATTATTTGTGAAATATTTCTCAGAATTGTTTTACTCTTCACAACCTGTTATGTCTCCTACAACTAGAAAACTGCTACGGCCACTTTTTTCTATCGAAGATAATGAGGCATTGACTAGGGTCCCTACAACAGAGGAGATACGTGACGTTGCATTTTCAAATTTGTGAGTTAAAGGCTCTCGGACCTGATACCAGGTATGTCTGCATCATTTTTCCATAAATCTTGGTCGATTATTGAACAAGATGTGGTTTAATTCTTTTATTCAATCATTATCCTTTGGGATGAGATGATAGAAGTTAATTTTACAATATAGTTTTTATTCCTAAGGTTAAATGTCCGGAAACAGTTGCTCATTTTAGGCCTATTAGCCTATGTAATGTGCCTTATAAAATTTTTGTTAAGTACTGGTTAATAGACTTAAAATGGTAATTGATAAATTAATTTCCTCACGGCAAGCAGCTTTTGTACTTAAACATCAAATAATTGACAATGTTATAATTGGACAAAAAGTTTTGCATTATATGAAAAAGAAAACAAGGCAAGCATGGTGATGGAAGTTCATGGCTAAGGCGTATGATAAAATGGAATGGGGATTTTTAATGAAGGTGATGGAAGTTCATGGATGTGATGAACAATGGAGAAGTTTAGTGAAGATGTGTATCTCTACAACACACAGCTTGCGGTGATTGTTAATGGAGAAGAATCTATTCGATTCACTCCTAGTTATTGTGGACTGCAACAAGGAGACCCACTGTCACCCTTCCTTTTTATTTTGGGGATGAACCCATTATCTTTGATGATACAGAGGAAAGTGGAACAAGGGGAATTGCATGGAATCCGGGTTGGGAGGGGTTGCGCGGTAGTGTCTCATTTGCTTTTTGCAGATGACTTGCTTTTGTTCGGTTTAATAGCTTTGAGGGAGGTAGATACAGTGGTTAAGATTTTAGCGGAATTTGGGGCTTGCTCCAATCAAGAGGTTAACTTTTCTAAATGAGGTATTTATTTTAGCAAACCAAAAATATTTCTTCTAGACATTGCCCTTTCATTACAAAGAGTTTGAGAGTGCAAAGACCAGGTAGCAAGGTGAAATATTTGGGTATGTCGATGTTTGTTGGAAGAAATCAACGTATGGTGTATGAGGAGGTGGTGGATCGAGTTCAATCAAGATTAGTTTAGGCTATGTTTTGGTTCACTGTACCGAGCCTCATTCTTTTAATTAGTGTTCATTTTAGGTAAGGATGGGTAAGAATGAATAACATTAGGTCACGTTTGGTTTGAAGGAAAATGTAAGGAAAGGAAGGGAAAGGTAAGGAAACTTGAACAAGATTTGTAAAGGTTTCCTCACCTTTCCTTTCCTTTCCCTACTTTTTCCTTCAAACCAAACATAACCTTAGAGTGTTTGATTACAAAATTCTTGCCAAGGGACGGAAAATCAGCACAATAGCACAAAAATTGACTAGCTGCAGCATGAAAAATAATCATGGCCCATCTTGCTCATTTCATTCTTTGAGGAAACTCTACCCAAAAAACTGTTGTCATAGATGTTTACTTTTGCGAAAGCACTTTTATAAAAGTACTTTTACGAAAGCACATTTATAAAACTACTTTTACGTGAAAGCACTTTTACGAAAGTACTTTTATGCACTTTTATAGAAGTACTTTTATAAAAACACTTTTACGGAAGCACTTTAGTAAAAGTACTTTACTAAACCACTTTTACGAAAGTACTTTTATAAAAGCACTTTGTACTTTTACAAAAGCACTTTTATAAAAACACTTTTATGAAAGTACTTTTATGAAAGCACTTTTACTAAAGTACTTTTATGGAAGTACTTTTACGAAATTACTTTTATAAAA